CGAATCGATGCATTTTTGTAAGAAAAATATCCATATTCAAAATGTAAAACAGCTATTAAACAGCTTGGAAGATCAAAGACAATTTATAATATAACTCCGACTGGATTCGTCTGAAAGAAGAAAGTCATATACACCTAGGATGCCTTGAGGGCGAGTAATTCATGGGCTAATTTTCATTTTTGGGTGAAATAACCCTTTAACCCGAACTTTTATTTTGATGGGTTACTGTGAAGACCTTCGAGTTTCTATTTGTAGCCTTTAATATGACAATAGTTTTTCTCAAAAGAAATGGTAAAATGCTCATGAAGTGTCTCAGAGCAGTTCTAGAGATCATGTTCATACTCGTATATTGAAGCGGCACAGGCTGAAAACACCGCGAGTGTCACGCGCGCTTCAGTATGTGTGTAGTAAACGAAACCGCGCGCCTGTGCCATTAATTCATACAGAGACGTGCAGAACATACAGGATTCATATTTAAATAGTATTTTTGCGGCTTAATATTCACAGGCACTAGTCTATATCACGTTTTGATTTAAGTGTAATTACCTACTTTTGATTTATCCATCCAAAAACACACAGTAAAATCAATTTTTAATAATTGGATTCCGTGTCTGCGTATTTCCGCATCGCAGAAATCATAGGGCCCTATAATTATCCGATTACTTGATTAATCGTCAGAACAATCGACAGATTACTCAATTACTCAAATAATGACAGCTGTTTGTGCAGCTTCTCTTTGAACTACGGCTGTAAATGCTGCTCCATCTGAAAGCATGTGAAAATACCACATTTAATAACATGATTTTACTCCAAACTCACTTCATAACGTCAGTCGAGTGTTTGAAATAAATCCTTCAGTGAGATGTGGCTTCTTACACAGAATAAGGCACGCAACATATTTCATATATTCTAAGCAGTGATAAAGTCTATGTCGATTAGCATTGCATTATAGATATACTTCATTATAATGAAAATTATAATAATAACTCAGATAAACCATATATTGTCATAGTCGTGTGTTTATTAGTCACGTTGAATCAATGAAAGCATTTACATTTTCTGTTTATTCAGGAACCGCTATAGAGATTTCCTTGGTTTCTTCTGCGGGGCATATTTGGAGTTTCTGCATGAGAGCGCCCTCTGGCATTCGGATGGAAATTTACTACTGATCACAGAACCGTGCTTCACTGAAAGATATGCATGACAATCGCAGCTTCTGTCTAATCGTGATTTCGATTTCATTTCGATTTATCGTGCAGCCCCAGAGGGCAGACATCACGTTGCCTGTTATATCGTTTGGGCTGCCTTGTTGAGCACATTGGCACTGAGAACATTATATTTCACACACTTTAAGCTCTTTTATTTTCCAGATGTAAAAGGATTAGTCCAACGAATCATTCGGTTTGTAATGCGTACCAAACCGAAAGCCTCGTACCGAATGGTTCAATACAAATACGTGTATCGTTACACCCCTAAAATATATAAATATACAGTGTTTCCCATACATTGATTTATTTGTGGCGGCCCGTCACAATATCAAAACTGACCGCCACAACTAGATTTTCTAAAAGGCTTAGACTTCGTTGAATAAACATGAGCATGTGCACTTTTCAAAATCGACTGTCACTTATATCACTGCATTTCTGAAGGAAACCGACTGTCTTCAGAAAATTTTGGATGTCATTTTCATTTCATCTTGAATGTAATGCCTGATAAAGCAGCGTTTGTGAGCGGATGAATTTGCATATACTGTATATGCCGCCACAAATAGAGTGCAAGTCTGTGGGAAACACTGAATATATATATATATATATATATATATATATACACACACACACACACACACACACATACATACATATATATTAGGGATGTCAATTGTAGATCAATTTTTACGATCAGTTAATCTATTAATCATTAACCTTAATACTGCAAAATGCTTCTATTGCAGTGGCATATTCACCGGCATGACAGGATGTGCAAAAGCCACTCAAAACGTCAGCTTCCTCACCCAAAATAAAGGGCATTTTAAACTAAATAAAGGCTAGTAGCAGGATTGTAAAATTAAGATGTGATTAAGATCATTCGATAAAATGAAGAGAGTGCGCCATAGTTACTTTTGGGATCATTTAACTTTGTTGGCTGTTTCATATCCCGTCACAGAGACCGCTGAACGCGCCTTTTTAAATGGTTTCATGGTGCTCATTGTTGTTTTTTTAAAACATAATCGCAATGTTTGCAATTAACATTATTGGCATTTAAAATAAAATGATCCCAAACGTAACTGCGGCTCGTGGGGCTGTGCCGCACGGTCAGAGAACCGCTTCCACCGGCGGTACTGCGGCAAATCACACCGTTGCTCACATGAAAAATTTGAATGCGAGTATGCTTTGTTTATAAGAGAAATAATGGGTTAGCAGTCAAATGTTACATCATAACCATGCTTTTGCATTCATGCTGTTCGATACATTTAAAGCCATATGCGGCTTTGTGTTCTGTTTTGCCGATTGGTCACGAATTTCCACGACTTTAATAATATTTATGGTTTCTTTTCCCAAATCCTCACCGTCTCACCCTCTATTTCGCAGGTTTATTTTATTGTCGTTCACTTTTAATCACTGTTTTCACATCTCTTACTGTGGTAAACATGCGGGGGGAAATTAAAGATTTCATGGCCATGATTTAAGAACTCGTTCCTATGACTTATTTCATTCCCTCATTTTAGTTAAATCATGGGTTTTCTAGGTAACAAATTAATGAAACATGGACAGTGGCCACAAATGAATAAGTCGTAGGAATGAATTATATACAAACTATGTATATCAGTGGCAAGCGGTGACTTTTTTAACCAGGTATGCTTAGTGCAAAGATTAAGACCACCCCCCCCCCACTTCTCTGCTCTCGTCATTGCTTTTAGGACACATGCAAAGAGGAAAACACAGTGGCAGGTGTCGATTTAAAGGTATGCATATTCCTACCTTATTTGTAAATGAAATTCATCTCCAATCCTTCTTCTATCGTTTCAGGTTTATCCATAGTTATTAGAATGCTAGAAAACAGCTGCTTTTCCAAGTGAAAACCGCCAAATAACGTTTACACAGTTACGTTATGATGCGTAATATTCAGAGGGTGGGGAGATGGGGGATTATCCCGCTCTATATGTCTCTGCATCGACTGAATGATTTTTTTATTTTATTTATTTATTCTTTTATTTTTATTCCCAATGAATAGGAGTTAAAACTCTCACCCGGGTGACACTACTCCAATGATCCAATAATAAAAAAAAAAAACATCTTTAAAATATTGGCAAGTAACGTTGCAAACAACAATATAATCAGATAAGGACTTTAACCGTTAGCGACACAAGTATATGGAAAACAAAGGTATTGTTTCCTATTTTTTTCCTGATGTTTGTTATTATTTACAATTTTATGTACATTTAAAAAAAAAAAATTTTATTTACCACTTAGGCACATTGACAATAACATCTTCAACATTGTCTATGACCAGGTATGTTTTTAGTAGACTTTCAAAATTTGCTTTGCTTGAGAAAGCATGAAAACATACAGTTATGTATTTTTTTTTTCAAATGATTTAGTTGAGTTAGTTTTGCATCAAACACAATGTAATTTTCGGCAATCGAGATCTGGTAGCAACAGCTAGCGCATTTTTCCGCTTGGGCGAGTGCTTCGCGGACAGCTTACCTCGTGCATGAAATCATGCACATACCAGCAAAACACTGAGAACGCGCTACAATCCTGACGAATCATAGCAACAGAGCGGAGGTGCCAAAGCTGCGGAGAATCCGCTTACCCGGAAGCTTCCGTCACTGACATAGATTTACAGAAAATTTCCGTTGTTTTCAAATAAATCATTTTACATACTTATTCCCAAATCTTTATTAAGCTTTAAGTCACATCTCAAATGACAAGGGATCAACTTACAGTATAATCATGTTTATATTAATTAGCCCGTGAACTCATTCTCTCAGACGGCCTGGGTATGCGGCGCATTTGCAGCTTATATGGACGGAATATATATATCTGTCCTGCTCATGTCCGCAGCCCTGTCAACCGATATGAAACAATTATCTGGGAAAATTATAATTAAACATGACTTAGTTACTACATTTCAATACAAAAGAACTTTGTACTGTTTTTGTTTTAATGTATTTTTAAAGTTTGGATCACATTAGAAGCGTAATTTGTACGTTAGTAAATTATTTTAGCCACAGATCCAGCCCCGTCACATCACTAACTCGTCTCCCCGAGTTACCATCTTCCGCCATTTTGGAGAGTACCACGACGCATGTACGTGCTTTCCCCAGAATGTAATCAACGTAATCAGCGTTGTTTACGTTCAGCATGCATGCACTTTCTCGTTATTCTACGTTATGTTCTGGTGAAAACGCGGACATGCGTTGTGGTACTCTCCAAAATGGCTGAAGATGGTAACTCGGGGAGAAGAATTGTTAAATAAATTATGTTATTTTTGTTTTCTTTGCGCACAAAACGTATTCTCGTAGCTTCGCATAATTGAAGTTGAGCCACTGATGTCACATGGACCGTTTTACCAATGTCATTGCTATGTTTCTGGGACTGGGAATATTGCAGTTGCGTTGCTGTCTATGCAGGATCTGAGAGCTCTCACATTTATCATCAAAAATATCTTAATTTGTGTTCTGAAGATGAACGAAGGTCTTACGGGTTTGGAACAACATGAGGGTGAGTAATTAAACGCGATGAGAGACGGCGCTGGTGGAGGATTGAATGCAATGCTGTCAGATTACCCCATGTCTCATTCACCGGTGAGAAAACATTACAGTACAAAATGTGTAGTAGTACAATAATAGCGAGACTTTAGAAGAGACTTTCAAACAGCATAACAAAAAATGTTTTTGAACCAAATCACCTACACTGCCTTTAAAAAGTTGAGTCTGAGAGACTTTTGTTTATTTGATGGGAATTTCACATTTCTTTTTTGTATTTAGTCTAAATACAAATAAAAGGTGAACCTTAATTTATCTGTACCATTTTTATTTAGAAAGTATTAGCCTATATAGTTTAATAGGAGGAAGTTACATAAACATGGCAAATCATTTTTCAAAAGTTTGTTGGTACAGACATCCGTTGTAGGTGTTCTTGGCAGTCTTTTCATGAGACCCATCTAAATTTCCACAAATCACATGCATGTAAAATAGATCACACACCTGACAGTTATGGTGTTACGGTAGCTCGGCAGCAGTTTTTCCATGTTAAGAAAGCGTGTGATTTCCTCCAAGATCAGGCGAACATCTGTGTTTAAGTTGTCCACTGTGCGCACCTCGTTATTAATGCTGATGGCAGGAGTCAGTGAATTTGTCAGGGCATCAATCAGCTCAGCACGATAGTAATTATCAGAAAACTGCAGTAGAAAAAACAAAATTACAACAGTTCTGTGATGTAACCTCTGACAAGTAATTTATGTAAATAAAGACAGCAATGTATAGAAAAAAACATGAGCTTTCAGGTTTAGATCAATTGGGACACTTGTAGCATGTAGCCTTCTACTTTTCATCAAAACGCTAATTTCTTTATTACAAACCAATTTTCTTTGCTCTATTACCTTGTTCTTCCGGTTGTCATTGTATTTGATGAGGTCCAGTATAAAGTTGAGGACCTCTTTGGGACAAAGGTTCTGAACATCTCGGAGTAGAGCCATGGCCACAGGCATAGTCTACATGAAAAGAATAGTCAAGTCTACGTTAGTGTCATTCTAGCAACAAAGTTGTGGTGCAAAAGATTGACAATAGTGTTCAGCCCTCTTCCTTGAAATGGAAGTAGGTGTCAGAGATAGCAATAGAGTAAAAAGTTTGCGGAAGATGTGAGTTGGATCTTTGGTGGTGATGCTGTGGGCCTTGTTCAAACAGTGTTAAACCCAAATGCCTGATATGGCAGGGAATGAGTTTCCAATAATTCTCTAGCACACAATAAGAATTATAAGAATTCAAAGAAGTATAAGAATAATGCTTATTCTTAATTACTTATTGTGAGCTAATGACTAACAACAATTGTTATTTAACATTCAGGCACCAGAGCAGTGTTCATTGTGGGACCTCTACGGCACCTTTACATGCCGGGCCGATATCTAGCATCTCTACTGTGGAGGAGCTTGCTTGTCTTACATATTTCATTTCTGACATGAATCACTGGGTCCTGTCTTACGGTCCAACGGTTGTCCATGATACTTTTTGTTGAAGATAAAAATGAACTTCTTATCTAACTAGGCTATAATTAAAATCTTAAATTATCCAATTATAAAAAAGGTATTACCTTTTGCAGGAAGTAGCTCTGAAAATTGATGAAGTTGTTTGTCTTGACAATATTCGGGCAGCTTTTGCAGCAGAACATGCGTGTAAAAAGAGACTTCATGGCTGGGGGGCCAGTCCAGGTGCTCATCATGGAATTAGCAATCTAACACAGTTCAAACACAGTTAATGCCTCCCAAAAAAGCAAGCAATATAATAATTTCAAACAGTATGGAAACTCAACTGCTAATTCAAATGCATGAATAAACAATATAGTTTTAAAGGTGATGTAGATGATTAACTGATTAACTGACATTAACAATAATGTCATTAGTCATAAGTTACCTTAATAATGTCAAATTACCACATTGCCACTTTTGTTTTGCTTTAGTTAAAAAAAAAAAAACTACTTCAATTACGGTCATGGTAAAATAATAAAAAATATAACGTTTAAAAAAATAGAGAGGATGAAGTTTTGTTTCACTTGAAGAAAATCTCAATACAAAACATATGTACTACACTTTTTTACACTTCTTGTCACTTGTTTTTCTGTGGTAATTTAGGCCTACATCACTTGCTAACTGTAGTCTGTGTTTTTGAAATACGATAACCTGTATTTGGGACAACATACTGAGATTAGCAAACATTTAAAAAAAATTGAAAACATGGTCAACTGGCAAGCACAACTCTGAAGAAAGAGGTGTTGTTTATCATTTATTAGAGTTGAGGAAAATAGACAACAATCCAAAAGGTTTCCAAATCCAAAAATAAAGTAAAATTGTGAAATAATATTAGAATTCAAAATTCCCCGTTTAAACAAATATTTAAAAATATAATATATTCCTGTCTGTAATGGCAAAGCTGAAATTTAGCAGCAATTACGTCATAGCGTCATACGATTCTTTAGAAATCATTATAATATGCTGATGAGGTGCTGAAGAAGCAAGTGTATGAGATACATTACCGTCTTACTGCTAATTTAACTAATTATGCTACATATTTTGTATATAAGGTAGCATGTTTTACCTTAGCCAGACAAAAGCAGGCCTGCATGCGGACTTTATAAAAGCACTGGTCTTGTTCTAAAATATCAGTGAGAGCAAGTCGCGAGGCCGGTGTGGGAAATATTTCCAGCGCTGAGATAGCCTCCTCCTGGGCCACCACATCCCTCTCAAACCGCAACTGGTACTGCCACATGAAATCGGCCTGTTCAAACTCCACCTTCCGTAGGATGGACATGTCCGGATCAATTCGAATCCACAGCAGAGGAGAGTCAGCACTGTGACATTACAACAGAAGAAAAGGGTTCATTGTAGGCGCAATGTTAAAATAAATCAAGCTCGCCATGATTTTGACTAAAGAAACTCGGAAGGACCTTCCTAAAGCCTAGAAAGACCATGGATTTTAAATTCTGACTGGATATTATAAAAAAAAAAAAAAAAGGAGACTGGTCTGAAAGCATAAAAGGTAGATTCCACATTAAAGGGGTCATATGATGCGATTTAAATTTTTCCTTTCTCTTTTAACCATTGGTAAATTGGAAATTGGCATCAACGATTTCTACCGTGTAACATTGCGATGGACGATGGGGGCGTGGTTGGGGGATAGAAGGGCAGGGTTGGGGGTGTGCCCAAAGCGTGAATTCGTATTCAGAAAAGCACGGAAAACAAACAACGCATTCTACGGAGCCACTAAAGGGACATGGTTAGCTGCTTGCTAGCGGTAGTCCGTTACATGACAGTACATTAAATTTCGCTTACTACATAAAGAGAGTAAGAAGAGATGACTGAGGACGATGGCCCCAACACAAACAGAACGTTCCGCTAACGTTACTATAAGGTTCCCATTTGGTTATTTTTTTGTGAACCAAATAAGAACGTTCTAGGAATGTTCCCTGTAGGTTCTCTTTTAATAAGCTAAAGGGAACGTTCCCAGAACGTTCCCTGCAAGTTATTTTTAGGTTTAATTTTATAACCTACAGAGAATGTTCCCAGAACGTTCCCTGCAGGTTATTTTCAGTTGTCTGGCCAGAGGAGAACTGGCCCCCCGACTGAGCCTGGTTTCTCCCAAGTTTTTTTCTCCATTCTGTCACTGATGGAATTTTGGTTCCTTTTCGCTGTCGCCTCTGGCTTGCTTAGTTGGGGAGACTTAATTTCCAGCGATATCTTCAACTTGATTGCACAGATACTATTTAAACTGAACTGAGCCGGATGATGACATCACTGAATTCAATGATGAACTGTCTTTAACTGGAAAATTAGTGTTTACTATTGTCATTTTGCATTATTGACACACTATTTTCCTATTTAATGCTGTAAAGTTGCTTTGACACAATCTGTATTGTTAAAAGTGCTATATAAATAAAGGTGACTTGACTTGACTATTTCCCTGCATTTATCACGTGAATCCCTCGCTGCTGACAGAGAGAGATAAACTATACATGTGGCAAGCGGTGCAAACAACAATAGCAGGAGAAGAAGCCATTACTCACCGTGATTGATGAATGATTCTGACTTAGCACTGTTGTATGATGAACTCTTGAAAAACGGCGCGAGAGAGAAAAGAAAACGGTAATAGATGCGAATAGAAACGCGAATGGAAACGTGAATGACAAGCTAACCGGCTAACGAATGCTAATGCGCTGTACCTATTGAGAGTAAATAGGTACAATTAACAATTAAAATCTGAAATTGTGATTTCAGAGAGATTTGACAAGTCTACTTGAAAAGAACATGTTAACGGAGAGGTTTTTCTTTTTTCTTTTTACTGACCAAAAGAGAGAAGCACATCATCGTTAATACAGTGGTAAGAAATGAATGTAATGTTATCCTACTTAACTCTTTCCCCGCCGTTGACGAGTTATCTCGTCTTTTACAAGAAAACGCTTCCCGCCAAAGACGAGTTTTTACGGCTTTTCGTGTTTTCACTGTTATACACTCGGGGGATGTGATTTTCTCACCTTTTTGCTCAAAATTATGAATTTTTTTACAAAACCTACCTATATTCAAGTGATGATAAAAAAAAAAGAATGCTTTAAGCTAGAATAAAACTGATTTTTTTTGTTTAAAAGTAGAGGCTCTGTTATTTATTCTGGAGTATTGCATATTCAAATATTCATACACCTAATATACTGGAGGCCATCCAATTTTAGTGAAAATCATCAAAATCGCTGGCGGTGGCTGGCAACTTTTTTCAAAAATGCTGGCGGGGAAAGCGTTAAAGTCAAATAAATGTTATTCATTTTTAATGTCTGGAAAAATAAAATTCACATTTTTAAAACCCAATATTTTGTGTAAGTCATTGTTGGTGCTTAAGAAGCGTAAAATCTGGATTATTATATGGTACATGGTAGTTATAATAATTCAATCTCATTTAATGCTCCTTTTATGATGGTTAAATGTGCTCTGAATATCTTTAATGATTAAACAATAGTTTAAAACAAGACATGGTTTGTAGTACTGATTATTGAGGTACATGTCCCATCTTCCATGCTGCTTTCTATACCGGACGCAGAGTGCTGGATGATTACTGACGGACAGCAGCGGTATCAGAGTAAAGAGGTTAGGATAACATTCTGGGAACCTTCAGAGAACGTTAATAGAACATTCCCTTTAGGTTAGGGGAACGTTCCCGGAACCTACCGAGAACGTTCTTGGAACGTTCCCGGAACTTTCCCCTAACTTAAAGGGAACGTTCTATTTACGTTAAGAAAACTTTCCTGGCTAACCAACAGGGAACATTCTTGGGAACGTTCTGGGAACCAAAAATTGTTAGCTGGGGCGAATGTGTGGTAAGTACTGCTGCCCCGTAGTATATAGAGTACGTGTGATCACGAATCTTGAAAGTGAAAGTAAAATGAGATCACGCATTCAAAAGCGGTTTCAATGCCCCGCATATTAATAGCGGCTCCCTAATGCCGCAATTTATATACAGTATAATTATCCAACAATATAATTGCGAGAGAATGTATTGAAATATTATTTTTTTTCTCCCATCTCATATTAATTCCCTTTAGGGGTTCCGTAGTACACATCATTTCCTTTCCGAAAACGGTAGGCTTGTTCGACTTCATGCGGTGCCGCAAAGATCGGCTGCCGACAAAAGCGATGGATTCTGGTTAGAAAATTTGTCTGACTTTGATCGCCGCTGCAGCTGCCTTACGATCACATGTGCCATCAAAGTACCGCGAGAGCAAAACGAGACCAGCCGCCTAGGTCAGTTGCACAAAATCGGCTGCGAAAGCCTTGCTGACAACACACTTTATTCTCATTGGTTAGATTCTGTGATGACAAGAACGATGTGTTTTGCATTTAACAATTCAATTCATAATGCACAAATCTGTGTTTTTATAACAGTAAAATCTTTTTTAGTGTACTCGCAGTTATATTGAGTAACGTTTATCAAAAAAAAAAAAAAAAAAAAGATAAAAACAAATATACCCCCACTTTATTGGTATTTAAATA